CTTAAAATAGAGGGCTTGATGGGTCTTCATTCATGAGAGGTCCTCTAGCACATCACTGCCTGTGACCCTCGCTGTTGTGGGTGACCGGGATCACAAAGAGAGGGGCGTTCTCCCAGGTGATCCTGGAATTGACTCTGAGGAATGCTTTGAATGCCACAGCAGGGACTGAGAGCTAGTGCGGAGAGCAAAGCACAGGATCTGTTTTCATAATAACCTCAGTTGTTAATGAGGTGGGTTACTATGTTTTTATCCTTCAGGACTTTTTTGGGGCACACAGGTTTGCAAAGTGCTGGAGACTTCTTCCATCCAGGATCGTGTCCAAACATAAAGTGTTCTCATTGCTGCTTGCTCGGAAGTATAAAACCTGAATAGCTTTGATTATAATTTGAGATGGGCAATTTTGAATTGTCAAATGTTTTAACAAGTCGCTGCTCAGCATCACTCAGATGACATGTCCATTTTCTCACATTTGCAATGGGTGAGTAAAATGGATGAGCTTAAACCCCATAGAACAGTTTTATTTCATGTTTGCAGTGGGCTAGGAGGATATATGTAGTATAGTGTTAGTTGACCATCCTTGTTCCCTGTTTCAAGCTCCAATAGAGAGAGGTTTAAAGAAGTGCCTGGGTTCTGTTAGTATAAACTGGGGGAATGCGTATGGCGTGTTGGTGGATGCGCTTCCACATGTGAGGCTGTAAGTCCTTCCTGGGGGAAGAGGAGGACTCTCATCTGTTGAGCAGTAAGGTGGCATCTGGCTGATTGCTGCAGAGTCTAAGTAGCGATTCCTACCCTGAACCTTAATGATTACCCATCTTGACTTGTGGACACCTGCGTAACACTTTGAGAACTTGATCTTTATTCCTAGCTTATGCTTTTCAAAAGATGGACATTTCAGCAAAGATAGTTGTCTTTACACTTCTGTGCTAAAGATAACCACCTTAGTACATTAATCACTTTGTATGATTAGATTTTTAGGATTAATTTCTATTGACATATCTGCTTAAGACTTCAAGTGTTTGCTCACAAAATAATATCTTACATTTTTGGATCATTATCGGATGCATTTTGTCTGCCAGTGAAAGTTAAATAAATAGTCTGTGTAAAGCATATAAAATGTCATGCAATGGAAGAATAACCAGCATATTTTCTAGCTGAGTTATATACTGCTACTGTGAATGGTATGCTGTGACTTGGCAGATCAGATAACTTCATCTTTATTAGACTTGTGACTACCTTAATTTTATTACTGATTTTGAGAAAATATTTGCGAGTGTGAATAGATTCCTCCCCCCTCTACTGTAATGAATGTAGTGCTTAGGTTTTATTTCTTGCTAATCATTTTTATAGTTTTATATAAATTCTGTAGATGATCATCAGCTCCATGCTAAGTTAAACTCTGCAGACCTGTACCTTCAACCACTAATGCAACCAAGAGTCTGCTTAAGACGATTCCTTGAGCTGGATCCAAAGTACTGGTTGATGGAGCACTTAAAAGCTACTTGTTTATCTGAACTGAGAGCTGCTGGAGGATGCCGAATTGGTCAATGTCATCAGTAGTGCTGAACAGTGCTTCAGATAGTGTTTTAATCTGCCAAATTATTCAAAACCTGCAGATGTCACGGTGAGGCCAGCTTTATCACAATTTTCTGTCCGAGTGGCTCAGTTCCTTTGGGGGTATGAATGCTGGTGGCCATGTTATGTTTGTATCTCCTTCCAAAGGGGGACCTCTCCATCACGCAATCTGGCAGTGCTTCTGTAGAGATCTGCTCAATCCCTCTAATAAAAAATCCAGAAATCTGAGGGCTTTTTCTATATCAGGGCAAGTAATTGCAGCTATTTCCAATTCCAGGTCAAATAATTTTCTACCTGAACGCTGATGCCAGGCAAGAATGATGTTATGATCTGTCCTAGTTTCGACTGGGATAGAGTTAATTTCCTTCCTAGTAGCTGGTACAGTGCTGTGTTTTGGATCTAGGATGAGAATAATGTTGATAACACACCGATGTTTTAATTGTTACTAAGTAGTGCTTGCACTAGCCAAGGACTCTTCAGTTTCTCAAGCCCTGCCAGCGAGAAGCTGGGAAGGGGGCACAGCAGGGCCCGTGTGACGTCATGCTCAGTATATAAACTGGAGGGAGGTGGCTGGGGGGTGGCGATGGCTGCTTGGGAACTGGCTGGGCATCAGTCGGCAGGTGGTGAGCAATTGCATTGTGCATCACTTATTTTTGTATATTCTTTTATCATTATTACTATTTTCCCTTCCTTTTCTGTCCTATTAAACTGTCTTTATCTCAACCCACAAATTTTACTTTTTTTTTCCTCCGATTCTCTCCCCCATCCCACTGTGGGGGCGGGGAGGAGGGGAGAGGAGTGAATGAACGGCTGTGTGGTGTTTAGCTGCCTGCTGGGTTAAACCACAACATGATCTAAGTACTGTATTAAAAAGGGAGGGAGTTGTGTTCTTCTATTTTCTGAAGTCTGAGTGAACTGAAATAGGAGCTTGATCAGATTTCTGACAAATGCATGTCATTAATATTTCTATGACAGTTTTTATGATTAATATTGTTCTGGGTCTTGATTACATATGACTTCCTGAAAAAAACCAAATCCCTACTGCTGAATGCTAATAGATCCCATCCCTTTATAAACTCCCAAGGAATGCAAAGGGAATAAAAAAATGTTTGCTTGCTTGTTTTTTCTTGGTCTGCTGCCATGTTCAACATCAACTAGCACTTCTGCTTTGTCTTCTTTCTGTCACATCAGCATAGCAACTGAGTAGGCAAACATGACTAGAAGCCAGGGAGATATGGTAATGTGGGATGGTGGCAAGGGATTTATCAGGCCTTTTTTTTCCCCAGCTGGGTTGCTTAAGGTTACAGCAGGAGTTTCTAAATACTGGTGAGGAAAAACTGTTCAGGATGCAGGGTTTGATTAAATCACTTACCAAACTAGCTGTTCAGGGTGATGCCTAATTGTATGGTGAACTCCAGTTCAGGATCCATGAAGACAGTATGGGTCTTTTGGGATGGTGTGAAGGCAGATTATTAGGGTCTTGCTGCTTACAAGTCAGGGTTAAAAGGGAAGGAAGCTTTTCATTATTTCCATAGTCCTGGTGGTTAGAGCATTGGCAAGCAGCGACCCAAGAGGTACAAGCCTTTTTCCTGCCATAAGAGAGCTTGTGTGTAGGGCTGCTGCAGTGGTAAAAGATCTTGGGGGAGAGCGAGTGATTAGTATACTTATCTGTAGAAAGCTCTCTAAAGTGACTAAAGGGAAAGCAGTTAATTGATAATGGTGGATCCAGGATGCTGTTGCAATGTGCAAAGCAGTCTACACCAGTGTCTAATTTCCTTGCAGACTACAAAGTACCTTTAACTGTTTTATGTCCACATCTCTAATCTGTCTGTAAAAACATGTCTTTAAACTCAGAGTTTGTACGAGCTCACTTGGTATCTTACTGGCGTAACTATCCACTCTCCCTTGCCCTTTGTATGTTTTCTGTGTTGATATGACCTCTCCCTTGAAAAAGGCATCAGCTACATATAAGCATACACAAGATGCTTTAAAATAACACGTCCTTAAAAAGAAATTATTTTATGAGATCGTGGTGTTGGGTGGATTTAACTGCTGTGAAGGTGTGCTGCTTGCAAGAGCTTTTCAGTGCTGGTGCCTGCCCAAGACACTGGCTGTGGAAAAGTTGGGTGCTATTTCCAAGTAGTTTTAACTTGCTGGTTGTGAGAAGCAGCATGGTAGCAACTATTCACCTGCCTGATGTTCTGGTGAAAGGGCATGGCTGTGACATGCACAGGACTAAGACTCCAGTTATTATTTTGTTCATACAGCAGTATGTGGTGTGCTGGGACTCCAACCTCGAGTGCTAGCCCACTCTTCTAGAGGGTCAGAGCTCAAAGAGTGGCAAAGGTGGTTTTTTTTTTTTTAAGAGAGCTGGAGTGTATGTCTCTACAAGACCTTATCTAGCTCTTGAATTCAAAGATTTACTTTAAACTACCTTGCATTGGCACAAAAAACCCTCAGGCGCTAAAAGTCTTTGAGAACTGAAGTACTTTGGCTGTAGTGTATAATGTAATATCCAGAAATCTTTCAAGTACGAGTAATAATAGATAGCAAATTGTGAGTGCCTACAGCCCCTCCTGGGAAGACTGTGTATGCCTAACTCCTGCTGAGCTAGGAGTATAAATCACACCACACAGAAATATGAGTGTGGTTCCATGAGAGGACAGAGCTGCGCTTGTCATGCCCGAAAGAGGACAGTCACTTTCCTTTCTTTGGAGCTTCTTTCTCCCTTGGCCATGGCTGGTTAGTTTTATACTATTTCGGTGAATATAGTATCTGAACTAGAAGATCTTAAGGAGACACCTTGGTAGAGTGAATGAATTATTCAAACTGTATTCAGCAGTTCAAATGTAAAAGAGATTGATTTTTTTTTTTCCTTTGCTTTTCTGAATGTATTATTTTTGTTTCATTGTCACTAGATGTCCATTAAGTACTTTCTGTTCCTCTATTTGCTTAAGGTAGGCAGCTACACCTGAATAAATTAGGAGAGGCAATATAGAGAGAGTAGGATTATGTTGGCATGTGATTGTTGACTCACTTGCCAAAGAAAGAATAGGCTCAATTGTATAATCCTTTTTTTCCCTTCATTCTAGCACATCAGTTCACTATGCTATTGTTTTTGTTGCAGCCTGCTAAGTTTGTAGAACAAGTCACTTCTCTGAATGTCAAAGCTGACTTATTTTGTAGCATCACACAGTAAAAAAGTGCCTTTTTTTATTATGAACTCTGATATTTTGAACACTGCCTATTAGAAAAAGTACCATCTATACACAGTATGGTGAAACGCTAAGCCGGTAGTGAAATTCTTGTATGTAGGTGTGTGTGTTAGGTGTGTTTCTCCACACCCCATCCATTCAAACAGTGTGGTCAGAATGCAAATAAAGAGAAATTCTCACTTCAGAGGGGAGGTGGGGTGTGTGGCTGACGTAATGCTTACAGGGCGATACTACCTGATGGTCAGTGTACTGAATTTCAGACCATATTTAAGACTTCCATGTGCCATGCTCTCATGTTAAGAGTAAAATATTTGGGTGCGGAAGTGTAGAGTAAACATTTTTTATTTGTAGCAAGAGAAGCTTTCTGACCTGTAGAAAAGGAGCCACAAAGAAGAGGGGAAAATGATTGCAAAACCTGCAGTCTGTAGAATAAGAAACTAGAGCGTTACAGTTCTGGAAGGGGGATCTAAATTAGGTGCTGGGAGAGTTGAACATTGGCATAGGTTGCATGAGGAAGTGTGAGGAGACAATTTTCCAGGCTGTGTAGTATTGTTTCGAAGGTAAACATGGCTAGAGTGGTTAGGTACAACTGGAATAGAGGCAGCAGAGGTAGGACTCAGTGTAACTGAGTTCCCTGTTTAGTAAAAATCCTCACAAGATTCCTTTGAAAGAAATTAGGACCGAGGAAGCTCAGATGGCTAATGAGTAATTCTGACAAATTTAATCTTTCGAGTAGGCTGAAACTATGGTCATTTTACTGCAGCAAAGCTAAGTTTTGGACTATGTCGATTTAAATAAATATTTTTTTCTTCCAAATTAAAGTGTTAAACTCCATAATATTTGCCAACTCTAGAAACACTATATTAGGGCAGGAGTTGTTGGTAATAATAAAATGGTTTTACTACGAATTTGACTGATCGTCTCTGTCTCCAAGGTGTCCCAGGTATCCTCATAGATATCTGGAGTAGTGTGTCCAGTTCTGGGCTCCCCAGTACAAGAGAGAAATGGAGCTGCTGGAGAGAGTCCAGCAAAGGGCCACTAAGATGATGAAGGAGCACCTCTCCTGTGTGGAAAGGCTGAGAGGGCTGGGACTATCTAGCCTGGAGAAGAGAAGGCTCAGGGGACCTCATCAGTGTGTACAAATACCTGCAGGGGAGGGTGTAAAGAGGACAGGGCCCAGCTTTCTTCAGTGGTACCCAGTGCCAGGACCAGAGGCAGTGGGCACAAACTGAAACACAGGAGGGTCCCTCTGAATATCAGGGAACTTTTTTTTTTTTTTTTTTTTTACCGTGAGGGTGACCGAGCACTGGCACAGGTTGCCCAGAGGGGTGGTGGAGTCTCCCTCCTTGGAGATATTCAGAAGCCATCTGGGCATGGTCCTGGGCAACTGGCTCTAGGTGGCCCTGTTTCAGCAGGGGGGATTGGACCAGATGACCTCCAGAGATCCCTGCCAATCTCAACTGCTCTGTGATGCTGTTCCTTCAAATCAGATTAGTAGCACTTACAATAGGACTGCTTAAGCACTGACTTCAATATGAAGTCATATCCCTCCCTTTTGTTTTTGATGCTGTCACTGAAAACTTCATACATCAGCCCCCTAAACAAGCTACATCTTTCCTCTGTTGCTTAGAATCAGTGAAAGTACATGCAAAATTTTCTACTTGAGACGCCTAGTAGACACAATGACATGGCTGCAGCATTCCCTCTGCAGAGCAGGATCTTTAATGTAACCTTCCTTTCCAGGTGGTCGGAGGCAAGGTAAAGAAACCAGGCAAGCGAGGTCGTAAACCAGCCAAAATAGACTTGAAGGCAAAGCTTGAAAGAAGTCGTCAGAGTGCAAGAGAGTGCAGAGCCAGGAAGAAGCTGAGGTACCAGTACCTGGAAGAGCTGGTTTCAAGCAGAGAGCGAGCCATCTGTGCTCTTAGAGAAGAGCTTGAAATGGTAAGAAACTATCACTTAACCTAACCCTCAGTATTATTTGGACCTGCCCTCGTGGACTTTTTGTTCTTGAAATCACTGTGACTGAGAGTGGGATTTGGCTAGCCATAAGGTATCAGAACATCAGTAACAGATGCACTCAGCTGTTTGCCTACTTTGTGTGTTGAACATGAACCCCATGCTGCAAGTTATCTGCTGGTTTTGAACTGGAAGCAAGCAAAGAAAGTGCCACTGCTTATGAGTCTGTTGTATATGAAATGTTTGTTTTGGAAAACCTCTGACAGAGGTAGAGGGTGGAAAAAGATGTGTTAAAATATGAAGGGGGACATACTACATCCACAGTGTGTCATTGCTTCCCACAGACCTTTGTCTCTGTGGGGGAGGTTGATTCTTGCAGGATACTCTCTGTGTAGATGGTTGCACAGCATGTATAAATGGGTGTCTTGGCCAAAGAAGCTGCATTAACCAAAGAGAATGTTTCATCTGGAAATACAGAGTCAGCTCCTCAGTGATCTTGAGATGCCATTGAAATTTCACTGGAGCTGAGTATATTGTCCTGACCTTGCATTAAGTTTGTTTGAATAGGCAGAGCTACTCACCACAAGTGAATAGGGTTAGGATTGGGTGGAAAGTCAGCCAACTGACCACAGGTTTTTTTGGTGTGCTTCAGGGTTTGCCAATGAAGAATTTAAAATGAGGGAACTAGGAATAAGGCACATGTGCCGTAACCGTGCCTTGCACAATCAGAAAGGACCTCTTAATAGTCAATCAGCCCCAGAGTCATGTGAAATATTTGTTTTTAATAGGCCATGAACTGGAACGGTATTCTGGCATGCCAGCAGTGAGAAAATGCACAAAGTGTTCCATGTTGTTTAATAATTACAGTATTGTGTCTAGTACTGCCACTGAGTAGCAGTTTATTGACTGAAACAGGATTTACTGAGGCCAGGTATGCAACCATGGACACGTGCTTAGCTCATTAGTGCTCTGCAGTTTTGTAAGAGGCTTCAGCCCAGTAAATTCAAACCTTAAATGAATATACCGGAAGGGAAAGATTACAGCTCTGTTTTGTTTGCTAATGTGATCCTGGCAGTTTGCTAATGCCTAATGTGTTTGCATATTTCAGTACAAGCAGTGGTGCATGGCGATGGACCAAGGGAAAATCCCCTCTGAAATAAAAGCCCTGCTAACTGGAGAGGAGCAGGGCAAAGCACAGCAGAACTCAAGCAAACTTGCCAAGGCTGGGAAGACAGACGCAAACAGCAGCAATCCCTGTGAGTATCCAGCCTATGATTAATTCCTATTTTGTTACATCTTTTGTGGCGTAGGAGGATGGCTGTGGTGTAGGAAGAAACATAAGGATGTGCTTTTGGGCACAAATAGTTGATTGAAGCAAAGAGCTTAGTGGGTGGTACAAAGACTCTGTGTAATGTTTACATGGACAACACAAATTACACTAGCTAGGAAGCTGGGCAGTTATTTTAAAAGAAGACTCAATCTTTGTGTTTTACCAAGGCCTGTGGAGACCTGTGAAGACCTGAGACCTTAATCTTTTACAGCATTTTCTGTTTTCCTCATGCAAGGTAAATGGAGCACATAAAACATAATTGAATTTTAAAAACTCCATCAAGAAAACATTATTCTAGCTGCAAGCACACAAAAGTGAGAAATGCTGGACTTGGGATTTCCTATGGAGTCTTCTTTCCGCCTCATTTGTGCTTGTCCAGGGAATGAAATAAGGTGGTTCTGGGGATTGAAAGGTGAAAAGATCATGTGATGTAAAGTCATATTCCTGATACGTACATGCAAAGGAACAGAGTTAAGGTGTAGCATGGGCAATTCTGTATATCACATCTTCTAATTTTGAAATATTTCATGCTACAGGTTAAATTATACTTTACTGTAAGTTTTTGAAAAATATGAATTCCTAGCTTTATGTTTTTAAAAAACAACGTGAAAACCATATTTGTAACTGTAACAATCTTCCCCCATGGTGCATCATTTACAGGAGGCCAATGCAGAACTTTCCGCACTGCAGCAGAGATAGCTTGGTAGCTAGCAGAAGAATGCTCTTGTCAGAGAAGTGGATGCATCCCTGGGTGCAGGGGGAAGGATCCCAATCTGCTGTCTTCTCTTTGCTCCTCCCCACATGAAACTCTTTGATTGTGGTGTTCCTAAGCCTGCATGGAGTGGGGTTTTGGGGGTAATAGGCATTTGTGTACGCAGAGCCTTGTTCTTCCTTTCTCTACACCACCCTCCCCAAATACAGCTATGGCAGCTTTTGGGCATTCCCAATAAGAGATGGGGGCTGCTTTTGTGTCAGAGCCCAGAATTAGACTGCCTTTGTGGTCAGTAGTTATGTGGTTGGTAACTGTTGTGGGAGTCTGAGAGGTTCTGGGGGGGGAAAAAAAAAGGCAAGAGGAGGATCTCATAACAGCTTTGCTAAAGCCAAATGGAGTACTGTAGGTGAAGGAGAAGGAACTGGATCAAAAGCTTTCATTAAGAAGGTTTATAGTAATGTAATTTGTAACCTAAATAAAGGTGTTGCTTTCAGCATCCTTTTATAATGCAGCATGTCTTTTATGTTACTGGGACTCTTAGAGAGGTACTAGATATATTCCCTGCTTCTGCCCATACTTCTTTTACAGGATGTGTTTCCCACCATCCATGCTCCTGCTAAGATAGTCAAAGCATGTCCCTCCACCTTGCTTCCAGCAGTGGACCAACTGCCATCTCCTCCCACCCATCGTGTCCTGCTATCTTTCTGTATCTACCTACGCTTTGGGCCCTAGTATCTTTCTAGCCTGCAACTTATTATGAATTCTGCTGTGCTATCCTGGTTTCCCAGCCAAAGACAATGCCAAGAACTGGTAGCAAGGAAAACAAGTTGCGTCAGTTTGGTTTTATGGTAAGAGAGGTGGTGGCAAAAGTCTTGTGGGCTGATTTACTCATCCAAGATATTGACAGATAACCTGCCGCTTTCCTCAGACTGCTCTTTCTTCTATATATGCTTTTTGCGTTTATATGATGCAATGTGGAGAGTGGAGCTCTCGGGATTTTCAGTGGGGGTTTTGCTTGCTTATTCTCTGTTTTGTTTGTGACAGTGTCTTTCTCTGTATTTTATGAAATGCATGGAACATTTTTTAGTTTTACGTTTTCTTTGTTTCGTAGAATAAATATTATAATGAATGACTTTGCTAGACTGAATGTTGCCTTCTTTTTATTGAACTAATTGGGTCTGTTTAGCATTATCTCAACTCAGGATTAGTCAAAAGCACTGAAAATAATAAGGTGCCATATTGCAGTGTACAGCACAGTTGTTTTCAGAATTCCATTCTGAGCACTCATATATTAATCCTTAAGGCATGGTTTTAAATTTATTTTCTAGACCCTCCACACATGTACTTAGTTAGCAATTGCTAGAAATGTTGCATAGACATGGAAAACTATTATGAAAGGTTAAGTAACGCTGAAGCAGAGATGGGGAGGATATCAGGGTTCTCCCCCACCCTGTGTTTTAGGCTCTGAACTGCAGTTTGTCCTGAAAGATAGCAACAAAGCCAACCCATACGTTTTGGGATTCTTGTCTATGTTGAATGCTTGCCTGTCCTTTTTCTGAGTTCTCTGGAGGGAAAAAAACCTAGGCCAGATGTCCAGAACTATACTCTGTGAACCTTGCAGTTGGATTTTGTAACATGATCATGTCAGAAGTGTAATATATTATTTTTGGTTTGAAACTAGACTGTGTAAGTCTAATTCTAATGTAAACTATGTATTGTAATTAAACATATTTCAAAGGTTATGTGTATACTTAAGTGTTTTTCTGAATTGGAGATGTAGAAAACATGCAGAGGACTTACAGTATGCGTGACCAGAACAGCTTCACTCTGCACTAGGTTATGTGTCAAATGCAGTTCTGATCTCACCAGAAATACCCACTTGCTCTCTTCCCTCCACTCTTTCTTTGTTTTACTTTCTGTGATACCAAACAAGAAACTTCTCAGGAGTTAAGTTTTCTTTTATGGAGGAAATGAGGAGTTGGAATTTCTCATTGTGATGAGCAAATTCCAACAGTTTTCATCTGTTCCTCATCACAGTGGCTCCTGCTTCCTGGCTTAGCCAGCAGTTGGTATTACAGGATTGTGTTTGGCAAGCCTGGGCCCAGCTCTGTGGCACAAAGTGGCATCCATGTTCTAACAGGTTTTTTGTGCTTCATGCAGATGGGACGGGAGGCATGTTACAGCCTACATCATCTTAAACTGTTTCCTTGTTTGCCCTGCAAGCCAAAATATGTGTGACACAGAGTTAGAGGCTTTAACTGCAATCTTCCAGCCTGCTGTAGATGCTGTAGTTCATTGCAAAATGTAGGATTCCCAGCAACAATCACTAATTAGGTAAAGTTCTGTGACTTCCATCATGTGGTAGATCATATAAATGTTCTAGCTTTAGATGGATCTCCAGGAGTCCTTTATTTTGGAGTTTGAAGTTTAGCAGTTCCCCTTGAAAACTAACAGAAATGTTTATGGTTCGTGCTCATTTGGTACTATAATGCTTACAGTCTTCGTCCCCATTGAGGTGGCTCCTGGAAGTGATACAACTAGGTCCTCTGACTAGGAGTCTCATATAGTACCCTAAATAATGGAGGATGTCTTATCCTCTCTTTGTGTAAGATGGGTACAGCCTTCCACCCATTTCTTCTGCAGTGAGTGTGTGCAGCTGGTTCTCTCTCACAAACATTGAAGGAAGGAAATAAGCCTGGAAATGCTTCATTTTCCCACTTGCCATGGAAATCTAATGGTCAGCTAGAACCATTTGCCCAGGTGAAGGTGGGTACCTTTTGGAAACTATCCACAGCCTTTCAAAAATGCTGTCTGTAGTATTTGGTGTTTATAACAATGCTAGGAATCTGTTGTGGTATGGTGTGAAATTGAACTCAGTTGATTCTGATGGAGTAAGCACAGTACAGTTGCACTAATCTTTTTGGAGAATTTAACCCAAGGATTTACCAGATAGTGAAAACTTGATAAGAAAAAGATGTAGTGAGTCTTGTCTTTTTAATCCCAAATATATATGCTTGAGGCATAGAATCCTGAAAAATGAAGTGGATGCATTTAATAGACTTGTCACTCAACTGAGAACATTTTGTAATTACATGTGTTAAAAAAAAAAAATCATGGTCTGCTTTCATAATCTGATAATAATAAGGGTTTGCCAAAGAACCTGCATTCTATTAAGTGCTTTTCAAAAGACTATTATAACTTATATCAGAGGTGTTTGGTTGTAGGTTTTTTTAATGTACTAGATAAATTTCAAAAAGCTTTTCCCTTTCTTGACAGCTGAAACCATTACTAGCTTTGGAAGAGTGCCTGTGACTGACTTGTTTTTCCTTTTTTTCCCTTTTACATTTTAGGGTGAAGATTAATCTACATCAATAATGAATCTAGTTCTTCCCGGCATCCCATGAAGAGATGGAGAAGATTTGGCATCATAGCTCCATGTGCTACGTTCCAAGAAATTATAATCTCTATAACTAGCTATAAAATTACTCTTAATGTAAGGACCAAATGTCTGAGACTAGTCTGTAGAGGAATCAGAGGGAAAGCTGAAGTAAGAACCCTAGTCCTTCTCATTATGCTTAAGAGTTACAGCATGAGTGACAGAGGATCGGCTGATATAGAAATCCCTGTTGTAGGTAAGGAAGGCAAAACGCCAGCTTGTGAGTTTCCTGCTGTTAGTGCCACTGAGCATTAATTTCTTTAAGTTATGTCGATAACTGAATTTCTTGTATGACTGTTGCATGATGTTGTGGATTTGTATTAGAAAACAGAAGCTTCTAATCCACAGTAAAGTCTGAGGTATCCCATACTAGGTAGCGAAGCAGTGGACTAAAATTCAGCTGATGCTATATTTATGGAATGTATAGATTTGTACATGCAGATATATAAGTAGAATTTGTAATGTCAGTTATAGCCATTGCCTTAAGCAATTTCTGCAAAGGCTGTTGCTTGATATTATTTATACCATTATTTGTATTTTCTTTATCTTACCCACTTTAAATTGTAACTAGAAAATGCTGTCATTATTCCGCTAATGATTTCCAGCAACACTTCATTTTAA